CACCCCCAAGCTCCAAACCATCTGTTCGACTTCTGACTCCTGCAGCATCTCCATCCATCCTTTCTATCTTTTAGGTATTTAATTGTACTGTTTCCCTCTTTTTGGTGCACAGAATGATCAAACTAAACTGGTCAGCATGTAATCAAGATAATATTGGACTTTGTTCTCTATGTTTCAGCTAAAGCTGAACATTTGTTGCTTATGATCTGATTTAGATAATTCCTTGTTTTATTTTTTTTTTTTTAAATCAAACTATTCTCACGCTGTGAGGAAGGAGTTTTGAGATTGGTGTTTTCCCTTCCAATCTTTGTTTTCTACATCCTGAATTGCAGGTTTTGTCCTAATATTACAGAAATACTTAAAGAAAGCTTCATGGTCTCCAGAACCTAATTTAGGAGATTAATTTTCTGCCCTGTCCTCTGTCATTTATAATTTTTGCAGTCTGTGAAATACAATGCAGCATTGCAGTCATGCCAATGCTGTTGAGCCTCCCTTCTTGTATATTCTATAGGAAAAAAAAAAACCTGCTTTTTTTTGATTTATTCTTAAACAGTTAAGAACACCATAACTCCAGAAAAGGGGAAAAAAAGATGATGTTTGATGAGCAGATCAAATGCACAAAATGATAACTTGGTGTTTATCCAAAGGACATTTTCCTTTACCCAGACATGCTTCTTCTCCTTGTTGCTGTCATGATTGATTAGTGAAGCACCAAACAATCCACGTAATTATTCACCAACTGCAGACCATCTGGAGTTAGGAATTTGCAGTCTCTTTCTAGAAATGTATCTGCACGGGGTTTGCTGTATGCTTTTGAGCCTAGTACTTAATCACCACATGTGGGAGGTGTTAACTAGGGAATTGCCTTTCCAGTCTAACTACATTATCATTTATATTGTGCTGTAAATGTCTATAACTTTTAAGATGCTTTACAAAGGGTTAGAAGTGCAACACATGCAATGGCTTATACCCCAAAGAGCATAGAGTTGAAGTGCACAAGCGAGTACCATAAAATAAAAGGCAAATGCTAAGGGGAGAGTGGCTGCTAGAGAGGTAAAGAACAGATGTCAGAATTTTTTTGGAGGAGGAGGTGAGTGAGGAGGAGGGAAGCTGTTCCCATGTGAAAGATGATCTAAAATAGGGAGTGGGCGAAGGAAACAATTTGGAGTTTCTTACAAGTATGTCTGCTGTCCTATCAAGAAGTGTTTGTGCTTTTGAAAGCATAGCTAAATTTGACAGGAAAAATAAACCTTTTCAACATACTAGCGTAAAAAGGAACATAAAAATCCTGCCCATTGCATGTTCTAGACATACTTTGCATTACAAAAGTAGCTCATCACCAAAATAATGCACATTGTACAACCAGAAGCTCTCCAAAACCTCGTAAACTCATCATAAACTGCATCTCTCCTCCTCCAGAGACTGCAAACAACCCAGCCTGAAGAGAGACCTGAAGGTCAAAAACTTGAACAGGAAGGTCAACAGTCTGGCTTTGTGGTCATGAGGCAGGAGGCAGGAGGCTTGTTCCTCAGCTGGGGATAACACAGTGGATGCCAGACTCTGACCATCTTATAGTTAAACCAGGGATTTCACATGTTTTTCACTGTGGTGCTTCACATATGCCCAGTGCATATACACCTGGGAATAATACACTTTAGCAATACGCCTTTATGGTTGAGACTTTATAAATTTATTGCTTCAAAATCCAGCAGAGACAGCTCTATCATTATTATTGAAGCTACAAATATGTGTTCATAAGGAGTCATTAAACATGAAAAGACATCTATGTTTGGAATAATGTCTCCTAGCTGGGGGAACATCCATACTGCTTCATGCACTACTTAGCTTCTGCAGAACTAGTTTCTAGAGCTCTTATGACACATATAGTGAGGCTATTGTCTGTACAGTCTGAAGTAGCAAAAGCTGGTTTATTTATCAGTCTTTTTGTACAATATCTGGTCCTCCTTCCAAGACATGACAAGAGCTTTATTTTAAAAGGAGGGGAGATGGATAGATTTTTTGCACATGCAGTTTTCTCACAAAGGTGTGCCACAATGAAAACATATGGGCAGCATCTCTTTGTGCTAATAAACATTATAATGACATGGCCTGTTGTCTGGCAGAGATATGTCAGAGCTTTTAACGGTGTGACTAAAGTCTTCTCCTGTTATAATCTGCCCTGGTTACTTACATAAAAAGGACCTTGTTCAGCTTCTGAGCCAGGCTGTGGCATTGTCTGGGGGAGCACTAATTGATATGGACCAAATTCATGCCAGGCACTGTGCTTACAATCAAACAATATAAATGGTCATGATCTAGTGCTGAAATTCATGCCCTGTTTAGACACATGGTACACTGGTGCAGACATAACAACAGCATCTGTAAATTCAGAACTGTTTTCAGATGATGGAGCTACAGAACTGATGGACAGGGGTAGAGCAGTTGAAGTCATCTACCTGGACTTGGGCAAAGCGTTCTGCACTGTCCCACACGACATCCTTGTCTCTAAATTGGAGAGACATCAATTTGATGGATGGACCACTCGGTGGATAAAGAACTGGCTGGATGGCCGCACACAAAGAGTTGTGGTCAATGGCTCAATGTCCAGCTGGAGACCAGTAACGAGTGGTGTCCCTCAGAGATCGGTGTTGGGACCGGTCTTGTTCAACATCTTTGTCGCTGACATGGACATTGGGATTGAGTGCGCCCTCAGCAAGTTTGCCGATGACACCAAGCTGTGTGGTTCGGTTGATACCCTGGAGGGAAGGAATGCCATCCAGAGGGACCTCGACACGCTTGTGAGGTGGGCTGATGCCAACCTCATGAAGTTTAACCATGCCAAGTGCAAGGTCCTACAGCTGGGTCGGAGCAATCCCAGGCACAGCTACAGGTTGGGCAGAGAAGAGATTCAGAGCAGCCCTGCGGAGAAGGAATTAGGGGTGTTGGTTGATGAGAAAATGAACATGAGCCGGCTTCAGTGTGCGCTCACAGCCCAGAAAGCCAACTGTATCCTGGGCTGCATCAAAAGGAGCGTGACCAGCAGGTCGAAGGAGGTGATCCTGCCCCTCTACTCTGCTCTTGTGAGACCTCACCTGGAGTATTGTGTGCAGTTCTGGTGTCCTCAACATAAAAAGGACATGGAACTGTTGGAACAAGTCCAGAGAAGGGCCACGAGGATGATCAGGGGACTGGAGCACCTCCTGTATGAAGACAGGGTGAGAAAGTCGGGGCTGTTCAGCCTGGAGAAGAGAAGGCTGCGTGGACACCTCATAGCAGCCTTCCAGTATCTGAAGGGGGCCTATAGGGATGCTGGAGAGGGACTTCTCATTAGAGACTATAGTGACAGGACAAGGGGTAATGGGTTAAAACTTAAACAGGGGAAGTTTAGATTGGATATAAGAAGGAAATTCTTTCCTGTTAGGGTGGTCAGGCACTGGTATGGGTTGCCCAGGGAGGTTGTGAATGCTCCATCCCTGGCAGTGTTCAAGGCCAGGCTGGACGAGGCCTTGGGTGATATGGTTTAGCGTGGGGTGTCCCTGCCCATGGCAGGGGGGTTGGAACTAGATGATCTTAAGGTCCTTTGCAACCCTAACTATTCTATGATTCTTTGGCAGATAATGACCAGGAAGCCTCCCTAACACACCTGGACTTCCTTTGGTTTCTCACAAACTGAACCTGTGGAATAGGAGCCACCGAGCAGGCTGGAATACTCAATATCTCCTATTGGGATGTCAGCTACTACCCATATTTTTGTCCCTCAGATTGCGTCTGGTTTTCTCATTCATTTGTTCACTGTGATGCACTTTAACCTTATCCTTAAATAATTTATCACCCCTTCCCATCTTATGGCATCTTGAGTTTGTTCTCAATAATCTCCATCCTATACCAAATTAATTAAAATAGTCATTAATATTAATCCCAGATCCCTGTGGAATCAGTCTAGATGCTGGGCCACAGACAGTTGCTTAGTGAGATGATTTTTGTAACCAGTTGCGTATGGCTAGTGAAGGTGCAGGAAAATCAGGTGAGGAATGATTCTCATACTGATCCTGTAATTAAGAAAAGGTGAGAAGCAGTAAGTATCAGAGAAGTTGTCATATAGACTTAGCAATGTTTTACGTTCTATCACACTTATTCCCATTTTGTCTCTCAGCTGTCTAGGCAGCTGCTAGACTTAAGTACAGTAAGATAATGTCAGAAAACAGAAGCAAAATATTTTAATCTGGGGACTGCAGAGCTGTGGGTGGTATAAACTACGGCCTCCTTGGATGAGCCAGGAAGAACTTTCAAAAGAGTGAGAAGCTAAACTATTCTGTTAATTTGCTATCTTTGCTTATGTCAATGGGAGGTTCATCATAGTCTCCAGTGGAGTCAGAGTTTCTGTCTCAGTACTAAAACTCTGCCAGGTTAACAGAATAAGACTAAAAAAGTCACTTGCTGTACATTTTTGTAAACTAGATACACGTAGTTGCTGTATCCCACTCTAGCCACATACCAGCTGCATATTGGGTAAGACTCAAGCATTCATTAGATTCTCCACTTCTTGGTGACTTCATTTCTACTAAATGAGAAACTTGGCATATGAAATGGGTAGATATCCTGGTCTGCTCTGAGGTTGTCTCTAGTCTGGATGATAACAGGACTTTTGAGAACATCATGGCTCGTATCTGCACTGCATTTCTTAGATGCAGCCTAAGAAAATCTCTGTCTTCAGAATGAAAGAGGTAGATACTAATACATGGAGTAGCCCATGTACTTCCATTAAAAACTCAGTCTTGTACCACGAGATACTGCTGCTTCATAAATGGTCTAATGATGTTCATTGTCTTAGATGTGATGAAATTCATTCAATATGTTAGGAAAGTGCTTTAACCAGGCTGAAGAGTGATAGAATGATGTGCAGTTGAAAAATCGTGGAAACCATCTGGTGATACCTTGTCTGATTCAGACCATTCTTCCTTTTTAATTCATACTATTTTTTTTTCATTAAATTAACAGAGGTCCAGCATGAAAAGTAAAGAAGGAAAAGGGAAAGGGAGGCAGAAAGAGTCTTTGCCTCTGTCTGCCAGGTAAGGAGTCCCACCTCTGTTAAGCTTCCAGGATGTTTCTTCCCTAATGCATTTAAAAGTCCCATATACCAGGGAAACAGACCAGTGTTGGGGCCGTATCTGGGTTGTGTATCTGCCAAGTCTTAAGAAAAGGGATTTTATAACCAGCTCTACCAAAAACATAGTTTAGAGGAAACCTTCATTACAAGCAGTTGAGGTAATTGGGGGGGAAATGCCCTCATGTTTTCTAGAAGCACCCAGCACTGTCCTTAAAGCAAATTCCATAACTCAAACTTATTTGTAAAGGAGAATTTTTCTTCCCAGAACATAGTAGTATCCTTGGGAAGAAAGAAGAGTTTGTAATCTGACCTAGAGTCAGTAGGTCTGTACTGCACATTCTATATACCCAGTGAGCTATATAGCCACCTCATCAAGCCATGATGAAGCTGTATGACCGCTGACATTTTGTCTGCCCAGCCTCTTGTGGGAGTCTGTAGTTTTCAGTGGCATGCTGATCCAGACACATCAGAGATGAGTTCATGCATAAGAGGGCAAAGAAGGAAAGGAAAGTTTTTTAAATTGTGACATTTTCCTACTACAGTCTAAACCAAGAGACATTAACAAATTAATTCATAAACATCACCAGCCACTGACAGTTCCTTGCTGCTTCCAGATTAGACAGAATTCAGACCAGTGATCAAGAGGTGAAGGTTCTCTCATTCATTAACAGCCCTGTGAGCATCAGTTTCCCAAGAGCACTAGGTTTTATAGGAATATCAGGAAATATGCAGTGTTCATGGTGTAGTGTATGCTTAAAATGTTAATGACCTTTCTAGCTTAAATGTCTTTGAGTTACTGTAATTAGACAGCAGAAGACTTTTTAAAGATGCGTTCCTGGAGCAAGTTAAACACTGTTTCTGTTACATGTCATTCTTCAAAGACAGCATCTGAAATACATATCTGAAGTGTGGCATCTGAACAGTTTATCCCAGACTTCACTGTAACAGCCTTCCCTGAATTTAATAAGGCTGCATTAGAATGAGCAGTGCCCAGGGTAACCTGAGTCAATGAAAAGCAATTTAATTTAGTTTATGGAAGAGGCACATTGTGTGTGTGTATGTGTGTGTGTCCCCACCCCGTAGATTAAATTAAAATCTCTCTTAACTGGATCAGTGCTTTCAGGATTGTGTATCATACTGTGATTGCTATAAAATCTTGTGTAAATTTGTATATTTAGGTCACTATGTATTTGTTCTAAGATGCAAAGATGAGCTAGGCATAAATGAATACACTTCTCTAAGCATACATAAAGATGATTATTTAATTCACTGAAATAAAAATAGGAACAAAATAGCTGAGGTACAAGTGATACAAACAGGATGGCTATGATAGCCTATGTGTATATGCTTTTTATTCTTTGCAGTTCAGTAATACTTCAATGCCATGTATACAGGACACACACTAGGAAATCCTGTCACTATTGCACAGTTTGGCTCTTTGGTGGTATGGCCTAGTGAAATATGCAGGGCTAGTGCCCAAAAATACAAAAAGGTTATGTCCTGTGCCATGTCCTGATTGGAATTTCACACTGAAACCAAGGGCCAGTGAATGTGATACATTATATGTTGGCAATGGGGAAAGCGAGGATGTCCCAGAGACATCCTAACTTCTCAAGCAAAGAGTGCCCTTGTTAGGCCACAGAGGAAAAGACTTCTGCATCCAGGGTAAGAGTCCAGATAGATACGTGAGACATGTTATTAAACATACCAGTACATACTGTGTTTGAATGCTGTCCATTAATCAAGACAATGAAGGGTGGGGCTGTACATCACTATATGGGCATATGGCACAGCACAAACTAGTGTTCACAGCAGAGGTCGCTAGCAGAAACCGCCCTTTGCACAGGTAGAGAAGCTGTGTGTTTTAGTCTCCTTGGAACTATAAACACTCAGAAATTGCACCAGGATGCATGTTGCACTTTCAAGCTTGTGTTTGATCACATCTTTTATGTCTATTTCATATATTCTGGTTTTCGTGTTAAGCTTTCTGCTGGTATCTTGAATCTTCCTGATATGCAGATGTTAAAATCAAATGCCTGATTGTGGAGGTCAGCATTTGCTATTCTGTGCTTTGGACTGTATATCCAAGCAGCATTTTACAGCAAAACTTCCATGTACAGGATGCAGCACTATTGAGAGTTTTAGTTCTTATGGCCTAGAGGGCATCTTTATTTTTTTGCTACCAAGGCAACAGTTTAACTTCAGGCAACAACTCATAAAGTAACTGTATATGCTAATAAGAGATCTAGTTTCTTAAGAAAACAAACCTATTTCACACTATGATTAATTGTAAGAATAAATCAATACCAGAATTGTAAAGCTAAACATAATCTCTCTAACACAAAATTTATTTTGTCTCCAATAAACTGAGTTCATGTTTCAGAGACAAATTAAAAACCAACAAGCTTGACTTCCCTAGGAGTAGAAAAAAGGTCAGGAGGAAAATGAGATTTATTCAAACAGATGTCCATACTTATAAGTAGGCTTAGAGGGACAATATATCACAACTGTATTCCATGTTTGTTCATCAGAAATTGCCTCACAATTCAGAGTATGTAATTCCAGGTGTTGTTAACATCTGTACATACTATAAACAACTAATATATAGTTTAATGATACCTTCTGCTGTTTGGAATTGTTCTCGATTAAGTTTGATCAGCCATTTTGGAAGACATATAAGTTTCATGTATTGCATATGCCTGGCCTGATTTTCCATTCTGTGAAATTCACAGATAGAAAATGACAAAAACCCTACAATGTGCTGGGAGAAGGCAAATAAGTTAAATAGGAAATAAGAGTCTGGAATACTGCAGTGTGTATGTGCATGAAAAAGACAGTGGTGCTTATCTGGGGAAACAAATCCCAGAAGGTATTTACTGCTGAAATTGGTCTGTGAGTCAGAGCTTTTGCTGCTAGTATGACATACAGCCACACTGCTCATGAGTCTCTAATTTATAATTTTTTCCATTTTATTTGTGAAGTTGATCTTCCAAACCCATCCTGTGTGTCTTGCATAGGGCTTGATCAATGTTTAAGAGATGCTGTGGGCAGTCCTTAGGGAAGCCTAAGTACTGGGAGGGGCACAACAGTGTTGGTGTGTTTGACGGTGGTGGTATGGGGCTGCTTGCTGTGGGATGTGGAAGGATCCTGGTGCAGTGGCAAAACCCCAGGCAGTGTGCTGGTCCTGGCACTCTGAGCTTGTGCTGTGTGCTGCCTGGATTCTGGAGACAGGAGGCTGGAAGGCCAAGGCACAGCAGGGCTATAGGCAATGCAAGATCACGGTGTAACATGGAGAGCTGTATGGAATGGGGAAATAAGACTGAGATGTAGCCTTATGGTTGGTCTACAGAAAGGTACTTGAAATACCTGTTTGGTTTCCATTCAGGAAAATATTTCCCAGCCCTGCTTTAAAGAGTGTATTTCCATGGCTAGACAGAAGCACTAATGAAGAGCTTTGAAATTTCTGAAGCCTAGTTATATCATTCTATAGCCATCAAGGGTTATATTAGGAGCTATTCTGTGTGAAGAAGTGACTCTCAGTGAAAGAAAGCCATGGTACAAACACACACATGCGCAGAGCAGTGACATCATAGCATTAGCAAGTGCCTCAAAGTCAGAAGTCTTATTGTGAGTGTAGATTTGGTAGAGCTTCCCAAGGAAAAAAGGCTTTTAAGCCATCATACTGAGTTTGATGTTACAGTAATTTCCTAAGTCAATGACTCCCTGGCCTCTTACACAATAATTGCAGTGCTGCTGCCTTCTTTTTTATCCCAGCTGCTGCTTCCTTTTGCATACTTCTGCCCGCATATTCCATGGAAGAATGTCTTTGTGACTTGTATTTTTCCTATATTATTTCAGATAGGGCTAAGGCAAAGATAGCAGTAATAAACAGAAAGAAAATTGCAGTATATATGTGTATTTGTATAAAAAGTTTCTTCTAAAACACTATCTTGAGCTACTCTTGTCTAGAGCTAGTATTCAGCTTAATGGCTCCCATCCTCTCTTACTTTGCTCCATGTCTTCTGCAATGAATGAGCAAGTTCTTTCAGAGACAAGCAATATTCCCATCAATAAAACAACTGTCACAACTCTTCAGTATGTCCAGTTCTTACCCTGGTTTACTGTTCAGTAGAAAAAATGAAACAAAACAGGAAGACAACTCTGGGTCATCCCCTTTGGATCATTTTCCCCATCCTGTTTTATTTAAGAAACCTGAGTATAACTTTTGTAGGAGTAGGTAGACAAATATATTAAAACTTAATAGCACAGACATAACAGGGACAGATGATGCGGAGTGTGGGCTGAATGTTCATGCTCTCTTCTTTGTTGGAAAACCTTTAAAAGTCACCAAGTAGCAGAAAAATAGTAAGAAAGTTCAACAGCAAAAGACAGGCAGCCAATTTCTGAAAATATACTTTAAATTTATAATCATGTTCAACCAGCATCTCTGCATACATACTCACCCTGAGAGCCCTACCATATTACTTTCTGAATAATCATCCATCTCAGCCTGGCTTCTGCAGGAGGATCCAGACCCTGAATAATTCACCTTCCCACCACGTTACAGTCTGTGCTACTGTCTTCATCATGATGTTCATATGAGAACATCTGAACAGAAGATCCACTGCTCTCCTCACCTGGGATCTCCCATGCAGAACCTTCTCTAGTCAATTCAGCTTGCAAACATATTTTCCAACTCAGTATCAGAACCCTGTCCTAATTCAACTTGTGTTTCCTTCTGGTAAAAGAAAGTTCTAGGACAGGTATTCATTAAAGACTCTCTGCACCAAATATTGTCACAGTCCCATAGTATGTGACAACTTTTTTTCAGATTCTTTATGCTGTCCATACAACCTTTCTTTTTTTGGAGTGGAGTTTAAGCACTACCTTTCCTAAGTACTCCATGAAGTCCCAGACCCTCTCAGTGTACTGTGGTAAATGGAAAGTATCCCACTTTCCCTG